AAAATTTTTTTGCAGATTCAACATCGTATGATGAAATAATTGTTCGTGTGTCTGACGCATATTTCTAGGGCAAGCACAGGGTCCAAGGGATCTTTGAAGTAGGGCCTAAGGGACTCCTTAACTTTTCCTTGATCAAATGCACACCAGGTGCCAATTCTATTATTCCTATTTAAATTGCAGCATAAGTTTGAAGAGAAACAAATCTTGAAGTAAGAATAGTATACAATACACCGAGAGAAAAAAATTATAAAAATTGTAAAGAAATCCCAGCAAATATTTCTATTCCACACAGTAAATCGTGTGCAAGCTGAGAAAAAAGGAAAAAACTATTGTTTCTAACAGTAAAGATTAATATTATTACAGAAAAAAGTACAGTTTAAAAAGTTCAAATTATGGTTACAACAATAGAAGTTATAATGCTGAATTAGTTAACCTTAAAAGAATCAGTTGGTAAATTTTGCTTTTTCGCATCGAAATTTTTACTGTTCTAACCATAACTTGTACTATTAGGAATAACAGCTTTTTCTTTTTTTTCCAGCTTGCATGCAATTTACTGTGCAGAATGTTGATTTTTACTGAAATTTCTCTATAATTTTTATTATTCTATTTTCTTTGAGTTTTTTAATAAGTGTGGGCAACGAAAAAAAATGGTATTAATATAACAATGCATTAACGTTACAGAAAAAAAGGATAATGATGATACTGATTATGGCTATCAAAAATTCCTCTAACAAATAATATTTTAAGCTTATTTTATCCCCTTAATGTAAAGCTATGCGTAGAAGGGATGTATAGTTATTCTTTACAGTTTGTACGTATTTGGGTTTGACATCTGTTTTATCTTATTATCTGCTCTTTTAATCTGGTAGTATCTATGTGTGGGACTAGGCCTTTAATCGATTGCTTGCGTTTGAATATTTAAGTAAAATTGTTCTTATTTAGGTATACGTACTTTAGTGGTGACGTCAATTTGATGGTTTGATTATAGCTCGAGGCTGTTGTTTTTCCACCAACGAAACAAAAAATCGAACTTTGATTGGTGAGTATTTCGGGCTTTTCACAGAAGAGAATCAATATCACAGACGAGTCAATATTTGTGCCAACAGTAACTTTGGTTTCTGAAATCAATGATTTTCGTCTGTAAATTTAGATAATAGTAGATACAATTCACAAATCGATGTGTCTTATTGCACATTTCTGCATTTATTCTAAAGACTTTTTAAATACATGTCATCTTATTAAATATTCAATAAGAATTTTTAATATAATAAGAAAATTACAGGGATAAACACAATATGTCAATAAAGAATGAAGGGATATAATTAAAATCCTTTTCCTTTTTAACTTGTCTTTTCCAACGTTAAAAAAAAAAAAAATATTTAGATTAGGGTAAACCATCTCATCTTCACTAATGTATTTGTTGAATAACGTAGGCCGTTTCGATCAACTCATAGCCATTGTTTACTAATGGAAAAAAAAGTTTAATTGTATTTGTAAGCATTTTGAACTTCGCACACCAACTTATCAATAACATGGTTACGTGCCATACTAAAAAGAGAGTATTTAGAAATTTAAGTTTTAGGAACTCGTAGTTCGCTATATCAAATTTTGGCCATGAACAAAGTAGAAACAAATTCTTCTTCGACCGATTATAAAATTAAGATATGTTACTGCATTCACTTTTAATTCTCCATAAAATGTCTATAGTTTAAAACAAGTTACTTACATTGCATACAAATATTTAAAAATAGTAAAAAATCGTTGGAGTATAATCATTTAAATAACAAGTTAATATTTTAGTTTTATAATTGTTTTAAATGTATTTAAAATATTATTTGGCATTTGTGACTGAAATAGTATATTACGTACCTAGGCCAGAAAGTAGGGCTATTACTGACCGCGCTATATAGCCCCACTTTTTGGCCGTGGTACGTATACTTTTTTTCCTTACACCTCCGCCGAAAGTTCGTCACCACGGTTTTAGTTTTGTTAAAAATGATGTTTTAAAGATTCAGTCAAAGATTTAGTGCATTATGCATTATTGTTGATCGATCGGTCGCTCGAACAATACCACTTAAATGCACGTAGATGAGCGTTCATGGGTATAGGTATATCTATATGTATACGCTCGCCGAGACTGTAGTATATTATATAGAATCAGATTGGGCCGAGGATTTGTGCAGGTTGGTCGTGCTGGCAAAACGGGAGGAAGAGAAATCCGTTTAAATTCGAATTATGGATCCTATAAAGATTATTTTAAAAATCCTAATGTTTATATCCGTAAGTGAAAAATAAATCAGGTTATTATCAATAACTATTATAATTGTGATAGGCATAATTCGATTAAATAAAAGATTTCATAGTTTATTTTTGTAATATGACATGTATATACTACATTTACATACTAAACAAATCATTAAAGTGAAAGTAACTGATCAAAAAACATTAATTTGGTAGTTTTAATTTTGTGTTGTGTACTATGTTCATATGAAATTAATAAATTTATATGTACATGTAAATTGTGCAAAAAAAAAAATATATATATATACATCCAATAATTTATGTAAATAAATATCCAATGATTTTCTGTGTTGTATAAACTATAAAGGTTATAACTCCGTTAGCCGTATGTATATATATGTATTGTATAACTACTGCTACTTCTCGGTGCTGAATATATAACTATGTATATCTGCGCACTTCGTTCTGCGCACATATGGCAGGGCTGATATGAGGCTTTTTCTAGCTCAAAATCGGGTCAGATGGAACGAACTTTCGGCGGAGGTGTAAGGAAATAGTATTTAATTTTTTTTATGTTTTTATTTGAAATTTCGTAGAAATCAGAGTATTGATTTTTCAACAATTTGTCCTACACGCTACGATGTTTTGTGAATTTTCATAATACAGTTTAACATTCTGAATCATAAAATTTGCTAATAATGAATCATGCATCATTTAATTGTAGTATCAAAGGTTTAAGCTTAAATTAAAATTAGAAAAGTGCAGCAAGTATTATGTTATATTTTATCATTTCTGTCAGATATGCCACACATTACTTGTACATTTCTGATAATGTAATCTCTCTAATCGCAGAAAATAATACGTTGATATTTAAAACTATTCATGTATTTGCTATGTGAACTTGCTTTGGGTCGTCAGGTAACTTGTAACGTGCGACTTAACTTTAAAACTGTGGATACTTTGAAAAATTCTTGAATTTATTTATACGAATAATAATGGGTGTTATAATACGAAGTTTAGTTAAAATATTAAATATAAACCATATACATACATAATTTTAAATTATTTAATTTCACGAGAACATTATTCAGTTATAATTTTGCCTCTGATCAATCAAGTATGTTAAATAATTATCTCAATAAGAATATTTGCATAGTTTACGACCATTACCGCATGATGGCACAATTTTCTGTGTCATCAAACATGCACAATTTTTTCCATCATGATGCAATAAAATGCATGATCAATAGAAGTTATGCGTAAAAAGTAAAAATAGTAAAAATAGTATTATATTCTGTTTTGAGAAGTACAGTTTTAAATTTTTGTAATGTTTTGTAAGTGTTTTTAGTTGCATCCTCTAGAAGTCATGAACTTGACACATAAAAATGAGGAGGAATATGAGCATAATGATCTTTCAGATTTTTCTAAAAATTGAGCATCGTTAATACGTATTTTGACTTTGCTCTATCAAAATGACATTTCGAGTCGGTTTGATAAAATTCATTA